TCGTGGGGCCAGCCGTTGTTCGTTGCAATTTCCAGGGCCCAAGGGCCGTGGGCAACCGCCGCCCTGAGAACACTCGCCGTCAAACCTCTCTTCCCTCAAACAGCGGCGGGCTCGCACGCGGGGGGACGGCTTCGTTTGTGGCGGTGCTGGTTGCAAAACCGGCGAGGAGGAGGCCGAAGAATGCGACGACCTCGACGGCGCCCAGCGGAGGCACTTTGAGGGGCAGCGCGATGAAGCCGGGCGCAAAGATGCAGGCGAGCCTACGGGGTGCCTTCCGAGACGGCTCCGAGAAGGTTCCGAGGCATCGCTGGTGCAGAGACGCTGGCGAGCCATGTGCGGAAGAGGACGCACGCAGGCTCGAAGAAGGTGCTCGCGGTGGAGGCCGCGCCCTCGCTGACGCGGCGGACACCGCACAGCACGCCGAAACCGCCGAGCATGCCAACGATGGACGCCGGGAAGGTGACGCCGACCTGCAGTGGCAGACCGCCCGCAGTCGGTGGATCGGACCGAGACAACCGAGGGCGGTGCCGATGCCGCGACCTGGCGCAGGAGGCGGCGGAGGGCTGCGTGCATGAGCAATAAGACAACCGCGGGCGCGATGGCCTTGCTTCGTAGGGCCGTCGGTAGCCACTCGCGGACTGTAGGCTCAGGAGGCTCGTGCGGCAGCGGCATGGCGGCGGGAGCAGCGGCGCTCGCATCCGTCAACAAGGCTGGCCGCCGCAGCACCGGCACCGGTGCTAGTGGCCGAGCGACCGTGGACGACGGCACGAAGCAATGTCCATCAAGGACCGCCAAGAGCAGTAGCAGCGCACTGAGCATGTGCACATGCATGTCGGTCAGGCTAGGGAGAAAAGAATTTACAAATCTACTCACTCTCACAGCACACAGGCTCGACACAGGTGCGAACTGGCGCGTGCTAGTACTATCACCGGCACACTAGGGAGAAAAGAATTTCCGAGACCAAGAATTCGCGAACAGAAAAAAATTTTGCGGCTAGCGCATCTCACAGCGGCACGACGGAGGGAGAGAGAGAGAGATTTTTAGCAATACCAGAGACGGAGGAGGAAAGGGCCATGAAGACAAACTGGCAGAGGATAGAAAGTACGTGCCGAACCCTAGGGTGGCGTCTTGAGGGAGGGTGTAGATCTATAAAATGAACTTAGCAAAAAAAGAATCCGAAACATAAGGCGTGATCAGATTTTGAAATAAAAAAAAGAAGGGAGCGGGCCAGAATTCCAGCGATGGTTGTGTCCCCTCTCGCGTTGCTCGCTCGCCCGTGCGGAGGGCATGGCCGCGGAGGAGGCGAGTACGCGCTGCCAGGCCTTCCACAGACAGCCTCTTGGGCAGACTGAGGGTCGGCTTTGCGTGGCGTAGCCCGTGCGCTGCGCTGCGCAAAGCTGCGTGTGCTGAAGGTGCATCTGGTGCTTCCTTTCGGAAGTGCGCACCTCCTGCAGCTGGTGGAAGGCCGTGCCGCCGCTCGCCTGCTCCGTGGACAGGGCGGGGAGGCGACGCCGCAGCGCCGCAGCGTCCGCTGCACGCCGGTGCAGCACTCTGCTGCCTGGCGGGCAGCATGCTGGTGCTGTGCGCGGTGTTTGCGAGGCGGCTTTGGCGCTGTACTGCCTGCCGCGGCGAGTGGCGCGAGGCACGCGAGGCGCCGCGCGTGGCCCGGACGGCGCCAGAGAGCGCGCTCGATGAGCCAGCCGGCGCGGCGCGAGCGCCGTGCAAGCTGGCACATCGTCTGCATGCTGCCGTTCTCTGGTCGACGGCGGTCAATCTCACGATTGTCGATCAAAACCGGCGGGCTTTGTGACGCCGTTTACGCAATCGTTTTTTGGCTTCGCTTTCTCTTTTGCTTGTTTTTATTTCGTTTTTTCTTTTACGAAGCGACGGAGGCGGGGGCGGGCGGGCGCTAACTACGGGCAACACATGTCGAAGGTTCGAGGACGACTACAGTGGGTTGCGGGCATTAAGAAAACGTAGCATTAAGAAACCACGCCGAGCGATTTCCGCAAAAATCTAAGAAACCACGGCGCGCCGCAGGCGCGGCCCCGAGAAAAGGCCAGACACGAGTGTGAACGGGAGGCCCAGCTCAAAATTTCTCTTCGCCTGCGGCGCGCGCACTTGTCACTTTCCAAGTCTGCGGTGTTCTGAGTGGATGGAGTGAATGGAGGCGTGTGTGCGTCTTCCCGTCATCCAGACAGAGAGCCGACTCGACGGCAGACTCTGGCATCGCCCTCGCGGACCGCAGCTTACCTCTTACCTAAAAATCCTTCGGGCCGGCGCTCTGGCTTGAGTGCCCCGGCGGCCGGAGCTAAGAAACCACGGCGTGGGGTGGATGAGGGCTGTCGAAAGGCTTAGAAACGGCGGCGTGCCGCGCAATCCTG